CAGCCAGGATGATGAGCATGTTCCCGAGCACTGTGACCAGGTAGATAACCAGGAAGAGGCTGAAGATGAGGGGCTGCAGGTCTGGATCCTCTGTCAATCCCAGAAGAAGGAATTCTGAGATAGCTGTTTGGTTTCTAGCTTCCATGTATTCACAATCTATTTTTAGAAGTGGTGAAAAATAACAAAATATACAGACAGTGAAAACTGTATAACTTATGGCAATGTTAGGAAACCCACCCATGGACAATCGGCTCTGGAATTCTGTCTCCACAAAAGGGACAGTCTAACTGTTTAACTAGCCTTATTATAGCATCTGTTTTTGCCATCCCTAGAAACTAATCTACTCACAAAACTTACTATCGTGCCCTAGCAGAAAAGGAAAGTAAGGAATGAGGACAGGGAAGGGTAGGGAAGGGCAAGGAAGAGAAAGGAAGAGAAGGGAAGGGAAAGGAAGGGAAAGGAAGGGAAAGGAAGGGAAGAGGGAGAGAGAGCGACTTCGTTTCTAAAGTTCATTGAGTTTGACAGGGTCACATTTTACTCTGAAGATGGTACTTGTATAAAAATACCACAATTTTAACTGCTACCTGCAAATATGCTGACATCTATAATCTGACCCACTACAATGAAGGCAGAAATGTGTAATATAACAACCACAGTTAAACACCTACTATATTTTTTGTCAAATGTGGATCATCTCTAATGTCTTATTTATTATTTTTATACTCTCAAACTAAATGAAAAAAATTAAAAGGAGAAGGAAAAAAATTAAGATTGTTGAAGGAAAGAGTTAATATTTAATTGTCTCATTGATCTTGCATGCCTACACATGGTAAGCTGAACAACAAATTTAGTGATAACCATGTGTAATATACCAACCATAGTGAATTTTCTATTTTTGATTTGAAACTCTGTATCATTTTTATTGCCTTATGTTGTTATATTTTTGTCTTTTTTCTTGTTGTTTTTAGTTTTTTTTCCTCTTTAAAATAAAATTTAAAAAGAAAAAGAAAAAAAGCACCATTTTCTTTTTCATTTCCTCGCCAGTTGATGGACATTTGGGCTGTTTACAAGGTTTAGCCATGACAAATTGTGCGGCTATTAATTATGGGCACACGTGTGTTGTTGTGGCATGTTGGTCTTCGTAATTCTGGAAAAATACCCAGAAAGGGAGTAGCTTCGTAGAATGGGACTTCTGATCCTAGTTTGTGAAGGAATCTCCACCGTGATTTTCACAATGGTTGTGTCAGTCTACACTCCCACAAACAGTGGAGTGGGCTTCCTTTTTCCCCACAACTCTGTCAGCCTTTGTTATTGGCTGATTTCTTGATGGTAGCCATTCTACTCAGCTCTAAAGACTGAGATAAACTCCAGGCCTTTGTAGGTGAATGGATGCAACCATACTGACAAGTGAAATGAATCAGACTCACGCATGTAGACACTGTACTGTCTCCATGGGCTAAGATAATGAAACAGTAATTAGGTATTATGAAAGGGAAAGAAACTTCTCTAAAGGAAAAAAACAATTTACTAGCTTCGTGGCTCCCAATATATCCCCCTTTTCCAATTTGTTCTGTCATAGTTGTGTGTTCCACTGCAGTTAGAGAAGCTCTATTTGAAGAAGTCTTTCAAGGACCTTTTCATACTTTCAGCCAGTCTAAAGATTGTAGGTACTTGAATTCAGCAGTATAACCCAATAGAGTCCAATAGTCCGTAACAGAAGTGGATTATCAGTAGAACTGGCAATTGTCTGAAGTTGCTGACTTGAGCATTTTACAGCTTAGCATATTAATATGGCATTAGTTTTTATACCTCATGGTTATACTTTTCTGCTAGATGGGAAATCAATCAAATATATGTAGGTGGAACTTGGCCCAGGGCCTAAAGCAAACAAGTTACCTCACTCCTAAAATGAATATCCTGTCTGGTTAAGGTTAGCCATCAGCTTCTAGGCAACCTAGTATCATGTGTTACTAACTTCACAAGAGACTAAATAAAGGACTGATTTGTTGTGAATAAAAAAGAATAAATATATGTATATATATATATATTTATACACAAGAAAATTAGGATAGACATACAGCTGGTTTCTCTCAGTTCATTGAGAATAAAAGTTTATATTAATACTGTTTAGATAAGAAAAAAATTAAGTAAAGAATTGATATTAGGGAAAGAAGAATGGAAGGAAGATATATAGATATAGATATAGACATAGACATAGACATAGACATAGACATAGACATAGACATAGACATAGATATAGATATAGATATGCACAGAAGATAGCTAAGGTAATTGTACGACTAATTTCTATTATTTCATTGAAAGGAACAGTTAGTGCTTATTTTACATGCCCGTATCTTGTCATCTTAGCAACTATTTTGAAGATAACACTATGCAATACGGTAGCTATTATTAACTTCCTATCTTCTTTGAGATTCTGTATCATTTTACTGTCTTTTTCTGCCCATAAAATAAAAAATAACTTTTATAGGTAATGGATATAACTAAAGGCTATACTCATAAGTGAAATAAATCAGATCCATATATGTAAACATCATACAGTCTCCCTAGTGTAAGAACGTGAAAGGGTAAAAAAAAAATCTAAATGGTACAACAGATACAGTAAAAGGGAAAGAAACTGCGCAAAATAAATGAGCAGCTGGAATGAGGGAAAGGAGAAAAAATAACAGAAAGGGCAAAATATCATATTCATATATATATA